TATGTAAGTATTCAATTATTGCTCGACCGAAGGCGTAGGACTTTTATATGTCCGTGAGACGAAAAAGAAGAAATATAACTCTTTTCAAAAACTTTACACACGTAGCCAAGTTGTGTGCAAATAATAACCCACCTCATAAGCATTCTATTCGGTATTGCTGAGGGTTATGGACTTGTCGAAAATCACACAAAGAAGTTACGGGGCTTGGGCGAAAATCATTGTAAAATGCACAGATTTTTCTTTCAAATAAATTTTATTTGTAATATTTCGAAATTAATGGACAAAATTAGGAAGTTATATACATATAATTAACATTAGTGATCTAATATTTCACCTTATAACCGTGTCTATTTTGTGGTTTCACGATATTCCAGACAAAGAGCGGTAGTTTGATTGCGAAACACAGGGTGAAAAAATATAATTTGACATTTTGGTGAGAAAGACCGGCAGATGAAGAACTTGTGCCAAAAAAAAACGTGTGCTTCTTCGTACAATTCCAAGAATTGTTAAATCGATACGAAAATTTTTGTCGGCCTGCCTTGTTGGTGCTTTGAAAAGAAGAACAAGAGGTTATGGAAACGAAAGAAATATATTGAGAACGGCTCCGAAGACTATTTGATCTATTTTCGGTTGAATTTTGCACACATTCTTTGAGAAATATTCAGTTTAAAGTGATTTTCGAATCAACCAGATAGATTTTCTTTAATTATCTAATATATTAAACATGTAAATAATACTATGAGTAGGTAATTAGTGAAATTGCACTAAAAATTCCTTATTCCCGTGAATTGTATGCAATTTAATCCTTTTAAATATTCTCTTTTGGGCATGTTCAGGGAAAAAGGGTAATAAAGAACAATCGTTTACCTCTTTTTTGCTGCAGAATTTTAACCTTTTTTAAGTTGAGTGTGCACAATTTGATGTCCCAAAAACACCCAAACTATCCGAAAAAGTGTATGACGAAGAAAGAAGAAAAAGATTATGAAAATAAAAGAAAATCTCTGTGGGTGTAACTGTTTGTCGGCAACATTATTCAACACTGAAGATTCTTTTGCGTCGTGTCTCTCATGGGTAGAAATTGAAGAGAGACACGAAACATTTATGTTTAAAATTGTACCTTGTAGCCTTAATATTTGGGCGAAACCTATACATTTATGGGGCTAAAATGTGCACAAGGTGGAAGTAATACAGCAAAAATGGAGGAAGATTTTAACGCAGGGATAGAAGATGTTCGGATGAAGAGAGAAGAGATATATTTCGTAATTACAGTGTAGCGGTCTGATGCGTTTTTTTCCTTTCTTTGTTGTAATACTTGCGATGAATTTGAATTCATCAGTCAAGACAGTTGGCTGAAAGAAGAAGGCATGGGTTGAAAACGAAGCCATCATGGGTAATTTTCGTTCCAAAAAATTCAGAGCCCCAATCCAAAGTGAATGCAAAAGTGTATGAAAAAGATGTAGCATCGAGATGGGACTTGGTTGAGGTATATTCCCCAACTCAGAGGGTGAAAGGAGCTACCTGAAGTTTTCCCAGTATTTCATTATCTTCTCATCCCGACACTTTGAAAAGAGTCAGTTGGTGTATGGATTCTCGCAGCCCAATAACCATCTGTTTATAGCCTTCCTCATAAGCTCAAAATCAGAAAAAAATGAATAACTTAATTGTGAAGAAAAGATATTATGTACACTTCTTCTTAGGTGGTTGAGAAAGCTTTAGAAGATTCTAAAGAGAAAAGATAAAAACATCAACATCTTTTTGTCGTTGAATCAACTGTATAAGTGTATTTTGAATGTTCACGACACAATTCATGATTGCATAGTAAGAAATACAGTAAAGTACATACCAGAAATTTATTGAGTGAAGCTCCACATGCCCCCTGCAACACCGCCAACAAAACACAAGAACAATCGAACGGTGTTTCCACCTACAAATTGACAAAACCGTTTTGTCATTGTATCAGTTCTCACCAACAGACCGCACGATATACAAATAGTCTTGTATTTTACGGTAAAAAAATCTTTTTTCCCCTTTATTTATATTAAATAAATTAAGGCGTGAACACCTCAATTTTGTCTGGGATTCAAAGAGGGCATAACAGACACACGATAAGATTTCTGACTCAAGACATAGGCAACACTTTCACAATTTATATTGAGAAGAGTAAGAATCACAATAAATTCATTTTATCGCCTTTTTCAGAATATTGAAAATCATTATGAAAACTTCACACTTGAATTTTTTATTTCACTTTCCACATATAGTAGATTCCTTTCGGGTTTTCCCTTCTTAAACCTATTATTGAAATTTAACGAACAATAACAATCATTGTATTTGGTGTAAATCTCTGAACACATCCATACACTAGAGTACAGCTGTATTGACACTCCGACAAATAGCATTTAATGATAAATGTCTCGCCAGTGAAAAACTGTCTGATAAGCATTGGAAACATACCCAAGTTGAGATTAACGCGATAGTACAGGTTTAGTGTTATTTTATCTTACATTACAAATTTGTTAATAGAATTTAATATTTGCTGGCCTCAAAATTCACTATAGTCGTGAATTCTCTTTTATTGATGAGAAATCTCATCGGACAATGTAATGATTATAATATGACCGCATGTAAGTCATAGCTTTGTGCATTCTTTAATACACATTTATCAATAAGTATGTATGAAGGTACTTTGAGAATATTATGAGTGATCAAGGAAGTGAAGAAATACTTGGATCATCATCAATTATAGCACCATAAAATTGAGTGTGCAGCATGGCGAGAAAGAAATTCCTTCTTGAAGCCTCTTGTGGGTATCAAGAAGAGGAGGTTTGGTGTGATGTGACCTCCTCTCTCACCACATCTACAGCGTATTCCATGTAGGGTGGGACAGGGTCAATGTTTTGCCAATAAATAGTAATATTGCACTTGTCCCGGCCTATCTGTGATACAGCAAGACATCCGACCTACGAGATTGGCAAACGAGAAGGTATTGCGATGTATAAATTGGTGGAAAAGAATGGTCGTCGAAGAGAATTTACATACATCGATACTATTATGCCAATAATCGCCACGAGAGGTTCAACTCATTTGCGATATAATGTGAAATTTTATCGTTTTTCCATGTTTCAGACCTAACCGTTACCCAGTCTCAAATGCTCAATATTCCACAAATAGCTCAGTTGGAAGAGATGATGGTCGGAAAAAGAACCTTATGTTAGAATTAGTTATCAGAATATATATGTGACAGAGACCACCACACCCAAGAAAAATATCTTTATTTTAATGCTACTAAACAATAATAATAGTAAAGTAACTTCCAAGCAGAGTCATCGATCGCATTTTTGAGAGTCTGCACACTATGTTTTGCTTCTCTACAGAGATCAATAACCATAAATTGTAGGCAAGTCTCCAATAGTTGGAGATTACGTTATTAAGTAATGTATGTTTGTACATTTCTCACAACGTAAAGTAACTTTGCCCCATCTCACTCTCAATCATTTGTAAGATTCGCTTGGAGAGCAGGAAGGAAAGTCTATTTGTTGAAACTTTTCTCTGCAATTGATGACGGTTTTTTGGGTGTAGTAGTATGGGATTCGTGTAAATGTTAAACTTCTCTTCTTGATTTCATTTATAAATTCACTGTTTAGATGTGCTAGCGATTGACTCCAGCTTTAATTGCCGCCAACATTTTTTTTCTAGTGATATTCTCAGTTGGGCAAGCATAGCTCGAATGACACACTCATTTAAAATTACACATGGGTCTTTAAAAATCTGTAGGAGGTACAGGTTTTGGGAAATTTCCAGTTCTCCTTCCTAAAGTTAAGGAATTTGTGCAATACTGAGATTATTTAGAGAGTTCGATGTGTCCATACAGGCCGAAATTGTATATACATACATACATACATATGTATCATTCTTCAAAATTAGTAGACTGTGGATTGGAACCTTCTTATCTTAACATTCACACCGAACTTCTCTGTCGACCCACTTCTTCAGTAACAGTGGCTGAACTGTACCATCAGAGCAATGAAATATGTATTCCAACCACAGTCAAACGTATAGAACATTCGGCATCATCACACACATCTTACATGAGATGACCAAGCAACATCTCTTGTATTGTAAACCACTGGCAATATCACGCGTCTTTATAACTTCTTCACCTTTCATCAACATTGTTTAGGATGAAATGATTCTGGGTAGAAAGAACTTTTCCCCACCACAATTGCCACGTAAAATTTCTCATTAATTTCTTTACTCGCGATCAACCTGTGTCCGAACACCTCTTTCACTTTGTTATTCTTATATCGGTACAAACATGTATGTCGAAGTGATGCCCATAAGAAATATATATTGCATATGTACGAGGAAGTGAGGAAAACGATCTTGCCGAGATTAGTTGAGAGGATCATGAGCAAAAACGAACGTTCAATATTAATCCATGAATTTTTTTGCACTACACATTATTTTTGATCTCAGTTGAGTCGTGAAATATTCAATTTCATCTGCCGAGACAATGTAACCCGTATGCAGAATTCTTGTCACTAATAAAAGAAGCGTTGATAATACTCTCATTGGAAGGGTCCAAGAAAATATCTTAATCTTATAGCTGATTGGGTTTCCTTTTGTGTACTATTACAATATAACAATAAAAGTCTGGATTTCTCCTCGTATTTCGCTCCGACTTCCTTATGGTAAACAATTTTTTAACTTTCCATGAATCCTTAATTTCCATCCTATGGGATACGCTTTGGGTATGCTCTGACTATGTATAGTGAAGAGCTTATAATTTGATACTTCGAAGTACCATCGTGGTATCAAATAACCGCGAAGGTAAAAAAAAGCACTACCGGACGTTTGGTGGACCACAAATTACTAAATTATAACTTACTATATGCATACACTGTCGGTCTAAAAACACAACGCTTATGTCCAGTTCGTTTGAAAGAGTTGTTTATTGGGATATCCATCGAAGGAACGCTCAGAAGTCATAAGATGCGGAAAAAGGTTAAGAATATAATTCAGGATTTATTAACTCTCTCCATGGGCTAACGCTAAATACATATATGGGGATAATGTAAAAAAAATACAGATACTAAATTAAGGTTGATGCGAAGTAAATACTGCATGGCCCATTGGTGGCATTTACATATAAATTTCACCTGCCAGAATATGAAAACAAGATGCTGAGAATGCAAATCTCAGTGTTTCTCACCAAGTGCATTCACCAGTTGAATTGTGAACTTCGCCACTAGTTCCAAGGCCCGATGTTCTGGCATCTCGGCCAACGATGTCGCCATAAAATGGCCAAAGGCGTTGAATTTATCTGTGCGCCTCTCAAAATTTTGTCGGTTCAGCATTTGATTCGGCAGATAGAATTGTTCCTGATGATGGCCAGATATTTCGCTATGTTTGCGTTTCATCGCATCCACATGGCGTACATTGATGTAGGGGGCAGGATGACTGGTACTGCATGGAAAAAATAATTTAATATATTGAATTATTTACTGATATTGAATAGTGACGAAAATTGACTGAAGCGTAGTAAAATATTACAATTTGATTTTGTATCAATATTAAATTAGCATTGAAAGTTGTTTTTAATTTTAATTTATGTGCCAAATAAGAAACGAACTTGTGTCATAACCAACTATGTAGGAACTCGTGTCGTTAAAAGTACAAAAAATCAACGCGAGATTTAATATTTACACCTTCAACAGACAGAGAGAAATAGAGAGAGAAAGAAAGAGTTAAAAAGTGAGAGAGATAGGAACATATGTACCGAGTAATATTCAATACATTCACATGTGTATTACATACCTCGCTAGTGGCTGCGATAATTCCGATACATTGGCACTGTGCTTCTGCTGTTCACTATTCTCAGCGGCATCGTCTTTTGAATCGTCCGCACCTCTACATTTGTAAGAACAAAATTAAATTTAATTAATTAATTGCATAATGAGTCAAAACGTTAAATGTCACTTTCAAGCGTATTGCTACAAGCCCTTCAATGCCTCTACACAAACCACAGTGAAACTACGTGGCCGCACACCACGTCAAATTTCAGAGAGTTCGGAGAAACATCAGCAATAAATAAATATTAAGACTTGAAGTACGAAAGATGTGGAAGACTTACAGTACGACGGTGGGATTTATAAAATTCTCCACTCCATTCGGCGAATGTTGATTCGCAACGTCTTCCTCGTCAATTTCGTCACTGTGAACAAAGTGAAAGAAAATAAGAGGCGATTAGTTGAGAAAGTTTCTGAGCTGTAAAAATAGAAAACCGCAAATTATTCGTTAAAATTTTGTATAAAAATTCAGTGCGTGATTTGTAAGTATGAAGGGAGTGATATTTTACACGATTGGACCGTACGAGTCATAGACGTATTCCGCTTTGACTTCGGCCGGTGCTTCGTTGACCATCTTCTGGTAGTTCTCCTGCTGCTGTCGTTGCAATTCAAATAGACTGCACTCCGAATTGCCCGCCATGGAATCTATAAATTGCTGGTGCTGTCGAGCTATGTTTGGCATATGATTTCCCTGCTGTCGCTGTTGATTGCGACGCATCATGGCTTTGTAGGACTTCCTGGGGCGGATGTGACCATCCAAGAATGTCATAAGATTGTACAAGGCCCAGGTGCAGCGAGGTTCTTCGCCCTCCTGCCTCATGGTCTCCAATTTGCGCTTCTCCAGGTTGTATCGATTCCTCAATTGGTACATTCGCTCCTTCAAGAGGTTCGCTGTAATTATACCCCACCCCGAGGGTGAAAAATCCAGTCAATAATACACTCAGAAATTAATATTGTAAATGAGAGTGTGAATAGAACGTTATTTACCATTGTATCCCAATTTGGCCGCGATTTCCATCCATGCTTTTTCGGTGTGGACTCTATCTTTGAAATTCGGATGGCTCTTATCGTAGAACGCTCGACATTTTGCGTACTCCTCGATAATGCATTTATCTAAGTCACCCATTCTGTCTGGCATTCAAGAAACTATTCGCATTGCGACAAGAAATTGCCCTCCAGTGGCACACAAAAAGACGTTGAGCCCGTGAACACACAGATGATTCGACCAAGAGTACCGCACACAAGATGTACAGAGAATTCCGGGAACGGAGAGACCAAAGAGCGAGCCCTCTCGGTGCGACGTAGTTTTTAAAACTAATTTTTCCTCAGCGAGATTTTAACAGTAAACTCAGCTCTTCTCCAATAAAATTGTGAGGTTGTTGTTCGGTGAAGGGAACTTCGGCGTCGAATCGTCGTGCCATCGCTCACCAATCGGGTCTATTAAAAACAATCATAAAAATGTATGGCGCGTATTTAGGTATAGAAATTTCCTTTATAATAAAGTTAAAAACTCTCTCGCACACTATGAAAGGCACTCGCTATCTCACTCAATCGTTCTTACAAAAGACTCGCCGTTCTGCTCCCACTCAGAGCCGAGAGTTAGACGGATTTTATGTATTTCGTTCACGACCTTTTGGGTAGTGAGCGTGATGGCGTCTGTGTTGGTGGCCGTCTAACATTGTGTGTTGACTTGGTGAGCACAAAGTGCTTCTCAAGTCTCTCTGGCTCTCTCAATTTCTCAGATATTTTCTCAAATACTGTAGGATTTTCTTAAATAAAAAACCTAGCCATTCATTATGCGCACAGAGGCGAATTCAGGCATGAGATTTACTTGGGGTACCAGAGAGATAGTATTGCTGCTTTATCTGTTTGCGTCTCTGGGTATTGGCCTGTAAGACTATACGGGAAAAGCACTATTGATTTTTGATTCTCGTCTCGAAAGAATAAGACTTTTTAATGCTTGTTTACAACTTTTCCACATTTATGTTTTTCTCGTGTGTGTGCGTCGATGAGCAATGAAAGCAATATGCGCGGAATTTTCATCGCTAATACACCAATCTTTTTACATAATACATTAGATTGGAGGTAGAAGTAAATATTTTTAAGGTTGATTATCAGCTCAATGTGATACGATATGTAGACTCTTTTTATTTTATTTCCTCCATCGAGCGTTGAGTAATGTTACCAGTGGCGCCTCTTTGATGCCTTCAAACACAGAGATAAAATAATATTTTTCAAATTTCATTTTATCGCTGTTCCGTCACAGACACACGCATGAAGAAAATTAAATTGTTACCGCTCTGAAATCATAGCGAAGAAACACATCATACACACCAAATCTAATATTTCTGCCCGGTAGATATTTTTTCGTGGTGTGGTTATCTTTCCGAGTGCCGAGGCTAAATTGGATGAATGTATTTGAGATGTTTTCACAATGGTGAGGAATGCCAAATAAAAGAGTATTTGAATAAATTGATATTAATTGAAGGGGGTATGAAAGATGAGTATATGTTGGTAAAGTCATAAAAGAAGTTGGGTTTGTCTGAAGAATTGATATTATTTTATAAAAAAAGCACTAGAAGATATGATTCTAAGACTGAGTTCTACAGGTATTTTCTTCAGATATATTTATTAGGCAATTGGAATAACGGATATTTCACTTTACCAAAAACTATGCCTAATCGATCATTTTTATTGATGAATTAAAAATATATCACTTTTCAATTCACATTTTTAATTAAAAAAAGCCAGTTAGACTGAATAAAATTACAAATTTCTCGAATCGTTTTACAACATTCATCATTTTAGGAAATGTAAAAATTTTATTAATATAGTATATTCATGAATCAATTTTTTATTTGAGAATTTTCCTAATTAAAATAAAATTACAAGTGAAGAATGATGAAAATTAACTGTTTCTTACCTTTTTTAACGAAACAGAAGAGAGATCTTTTAAAATGAATTGAGTAGAGTTTGTACAGTGAATGGGTGGCTGAATATTTATGATCACCTTTAAATTGTCTTCCTGGTCTTATGGGCTCGCGTACCATTTGCATTTGCATCTCATTAAACTTTTTGGCAGTTGACTCCGAAGCGATTGCCCACATTTTCACGAACCCAGAAAGTGTTGCACACTCAGTACAGATTGGTGATCTCCATCGTAGTGCCAATGAACAGATATAGCGACGCGAGAAGAGTGACCTGTAAGTTTTATCTTCATCGAGGTTCTTTTTCCTACCGTTTTCACTCAGAAAAATTTCTGGAGATTTCTTTTTCCATATGTGTTGGAAAATATCCTCCTCTGGCACTTTTTATTATTGCTTCGGTTTTTGTTGTTTTACTTTGTATTTTGGTTGAGGCAGTGTTTGAGTGTGACGTGATGGTTTCCATTGAACCTAACTGTACATGTTCTTCTCTGGATTTTGTTATTTGAAATTTTGCTGGCGTGTTGTGATTAATACAATATCGTGAACAAATCGTTCAAAAGTGGTAATTGATTTTTAGGTCAAGAACTTAAAAATTCTGAAGGGATAATTTCCACGCTCAGTTAAAGAATTAACTGCGGAAAATATTTTTACCTGTGCGAAAAATCTTGTAATAATAATTTCTCTTACTGTCTAATTTGTTGATTTTGAATTTTTAATTTTTATATTGACTGGTTAGATAATGGAAGCAAGAATAGCAGAGCAATCAATAAATTATGGTTTTATTATTCTCTGCACCAATATCGCAATTATTATCTTATTACAAATATAATAAAAACATTTTCACGATAGACATGATCACGATTGCATATTATACTCGCCAATCTTCGATTACCTTATAAGAATGGACAAAAAGAGAAAATCATTAGATTATTGCTAAAGGATTTCTTTTCTTCCACCTTTTCTTCTATCCTATGCGAGCTGTTCAATTTGGCATCGTTGCACATTTATTAAGTATTCGTGCGTGATTATTTGTTGTGATTGCTGAAGATTTGAATGTGACATGCAATTTATGCGGATACGGTGACTATTTCTGTGCTTGTGTTCAAGAGTCGGGTCTCTTGATGGACAAAAAAGAGATGGAGAAACGGTAAATGTGATGAGTGATCTCTCTGATCGAGTAATGCACTACTCAGGTGACTAACATTTTACCTCTAGCCTGGCACAAAACCTGATAAACACAGTAAATATAGAGATTTACGCTTATAAATTGATTTCTTTGTGAAGCAAAGACCCATGTGATAAAAATTTTCGCTGATTAACTACAAAGATCACTTTCATCATCAAAAATGTCTTGTGATAGCGCAAAATTTGAACTAATTTGTTTTCCACACTGTGATTATCTCACAGACACTTCTTCGTGTTTATATCGCGAAATCTTTTAAATAAATTTAAGTAATCTTACCAACAAAACATATGTCTTCACATCAACATCTCTCATGGGAGATTGCATGCCATTGATAAGACGTCTCACTCACAGCCTTTAAAATTAAATTATGTTTTTTTGCATTATTGCTTCAAAACAATTCCATTCTGCGATGTCTTTTACTTCGCTTATTTAAGATCGAGAAAATTTTGTTTAATAATACCTGTGTAAACTAATTACCATATGAAATTAATTTAATATGTATTATTCTCTCATTCGTTACAATGAATTGAAAAAAAAATGGTAAACTCTTAAGTCAAGTAGGAGTCATACATCATACATACACATATGTATATTGGATGCTCCAATCCAGATTCTCTCTATCTATATTTCAGTGATATTTATTTCAAGTGCATAAATGGATCCAAAATGATATGAAAAACAGGTTGTGTCTATTGAAATTTAGCTTATTTAATAGTAAAGTGTAATTTTCAATGCATCGAAAGTGTACTAAGACGATATTTCGTGTGTGGCTAAGTGTTAGTGGAAGAGATCACATCCATTAAAATGTGTTTCGCCAATACTACCGACAGGACTGGTTGATAGAAATGTTAGAAAATTCCAGTGCCACGTGAAATTCTAGTGTTCATCCAAAGGAGAGCTTTACGCATAAAAGAGGCTTGTCTTGTAGGTCGTGATGGGTGCCTTTTGCTGTTGAATATGTGGTCAAATTGCACATGTCCCGGCCTGCATTGACCGCCAAAATACATCAATGTGCACGGTGAGATGGAATCATTGGCCGCTGTGAGACGTACCATTAAAACGGTTCTGTATGCTTTCTCCGTCTCGACCGATTGAGACAATTGAGGTGCAAAAGAGAGGTGCAATTGTGAAAAACGGTGCAGGAAATGATATAGCACTATATTACTTGTGGCTGCTGATGTAACATCCATGTGCAATGGTCGCGCACTTTCTGTGACTTTCAAGTTGATCTTCACTGGCCAATTAAATAGCATTCATAATGTTGAGATTCACAATTTCTGTGAAATGATTTATATCACTCAACCATTATCGGTGGCAAATTTCACGTTTTTCTGGTTCTCAAGATCTCCACACTCTCCTGCCGGTTCTCTCAATGAACTGCATTGAGTTATTTCGGATCATTTTGTTCGGACTTTGACTTGAATTTTAATTATAAAATACATATTGAATTACAATTCTAATATACCATAGCATTACGTTTAACATTCATTTAAATGACATTTCTTCGTAGAAATCTTGGAATTCAAGGAATTTTATCATTAATAGAAAAATGCATGATGACGATAACCACAATGAGTGAGTGTTTGTGATTTCAAGTAATATAATAAATAATTGTTTTTTAAAATTCTTAACGTAAAAATTATCAACTTGAGGTCATTGATTTACCTATAATATTACATAAAAAATCATTTTAACCTATGAAAAACCATCAAACTCACTCCTCCACTGTATACTTTTATACGAGAAATCGAAAAGGTGATTCAACGCAACGAGTCTGCTGCTTATGTATAAATGCTGTAATACAAAACCGTTAACTCAAGACCTTCCGGAGATGAATTTAATGACCTTCATTTTTGTCTTTTAACACCTCTCGAAGCATGCTTTATATAATATGCAGATGGTTCAGAGACACACGAAGAATGTGTTGCTCGTGTAGCAAATATAATGTTCACAGTTTTCTATTGTCCCCATCTTCAGCGATTATTGCACATTCGATAGAGTATTAAAGTGTGAAAGACTAAGTTGGCGAGGAGTTGAGAAGTCAGCAAAAAATGACTTAATCCCCGTTTAATCATTTGTCTTCGAAGACACCAGCCAAAGTTTGTTGGTCCCAGAGAGACACCCAGAAAAGATTCACGGGCAAATTCCCGGGAGTGAGGCAAAAAACTGCCATGCAATCTCACAACTAACAGTAACTCTATATGATTCTGACTTTTGATTATTATTTATCTAGGTGTTTCAGCATTGTAAAGTAAAGCGACCATAGGCAAGAAAGGATTAATGATGAGCGTGAAAAAATTCCAATGATGACGATTTAATCGATTTCGTTGGCTATATTTTGCACATTTCATCTTTCATTGCTCTGTGACACACATGGTCTCTCATTTCCGCCTTCGCGGCTAAAGATTCCAGGCGGAATTTAATATTTCTCATAAGGCTGTTTCTTATTCCCAACCCCCCCCCCCCCCCTCTCCGTAGAATTCTAGTGCTGGCAACGGAAAAAGAAGATGAGAACTGAGAGGTTGTAAATACAGATGGGTCCCTCATCTAATGGCAAAAGCACACTCTTGAAATCAGCTGGAGACACATCATTGAATTAATTTTATCATCGATAGTAAAATAAATGAAATCCGCAACTGTTTTCCGACCTTGAATCACATCCAAAAATTATCACATGTGGGAGAGGCTTCTATTCTCCATATTCTGCGGTTATAATCGATATAATTGTGAAAAGGCAAAGGAAGATGTGAATATATGCGGATGTCGTAGATGGGGTTAAACGGGTTACACTTTAGGCACACATGTATTAAAATTCAAATTGATGGTTTATATGAAAAATCTTAACTCTCTAACCATATCGCCACATCGATGGAAAATCATTTTATGAGCCAAACACTAATTAGACGACTTATCGAAAACTGTGCCCCGGTCTAGTCACGCTTGGTGTATAATGAAATGAGGCGACGGAGAAATCATTTATCATTAGGTTTCTGGTGTTGGGACCGTAAACAACTGGATGACCCGTGGATGGGCGAGTAGCGAAAACAGGAAAGAGCAGCAGACCACAATTCGGTGGAAGGCAGTTGAAAATTGATTGTAATGTGAGGGGGCCTTGTCTCGTGTTGGCAAACGCTGAAGATGGTATAATGTGCTAAGCGCGCTGAAGATGATGGTGATGATGATGACTCGTGGAGTTCGTCACTTAAAAGTAGCGGTATTCATATGTATTTTAATACAAAACGTCTTCGATTCACGAAGCTTTAAGTCAAAATCTCAGCTTGTGTACAGTGCGGATAAATTTTTAACTGAAATAAGTTTGAAAAGGCGAAAATGTCATAGGAAAAATATATGTGAAAATATTGTGTCTTCTTCTTTTTTAGTGAGAAATCCTATGACATGTAGTTGTTTCACAAAGTAAAACAGTTTTTTGAAAAACAAATTAGTAACTAGTATAAGGCAGAAGATATTTGCGAATATGAGAGATTAATTTACTAATTGATGTACATCACACGCAAATTTAAGCACGCAAATGTGACTTATAAAATGAGCAATCTTCTGTACAATGACGATTATTATTCCAAATATCTTGCACTGCAGATTTGTGACCCTTAATAGTCCTCACGACACACGTAAATGAAATTTTATACACAGATAACCGTTTAACATTATTATAGTTGTGAACATGTAAAAAGCTTGGCCGCGACTCCAAATAACGGTTGAGCGATTTTTACTCAACAAACATCTGTGCACCAACAAGAAACGCCAAGTAGAAGAATTGCCATTGCTCTTTAGTATTTGGTATAATATGAAGAAAAAGACTCAGAGGAAAGATACAAGTGGCCAAGAAGCAATCAACATTCTATTATATTTTATTGTACATATATGATAAAACTTTAAAACAAACAACACTCAAATCATTGCCATTTTTATCACTATGTTCAATTAATAACTTATCAAACTAATTTGATCACATTTTCCATGTTGATTTAAATAAGACCATCCATTATCTCTTTGGACTTCAAGAAAATTCAATAGCGAAGTATTTTTTTTTCGAAGCAATACTCTTCAACTCAGTTCATTATCGCGGTATTTGAAAAAAATGTTGTACCTACCACTTTTTCCCAAAGTATGACTTATAATAACAATTTTCTGGCTAGTGTGCGTAATATTTAATTGATCCACTTGTCGAAGACAGATTATGAAGGTTTATGTAAAGTTGTGAAGGGAGAATTCTAGAGCGGGATGAGGAAAAATCAATGAGTGTGGGCCATCAGTGAGTCAATAGGCAAGAGTTCCACTGTCACTGTCCGTGTAGACAAATCAGTTCATATCGTGTTGAGTGACGGGTCATACATTGAATATCCATCAACAGCTGCACAGCTCCGAAGTGACAATGATTGTGTGGCCGAGTTGGTGAAATGCAAGATTTGAGTAGAGATGGTACAGCTCCGAGGACCACAGTGGCATCCGCTGGACATCTGGTAAGCAGGAAGACTCCCGTTCTCTTTTGCTCTAATCGAGGACTATTCCTGCGAACATCCAACAACTCGACGACGGAGTACTCAGTGGACTTTTGCGATATTGAGCGTTGGGTGAGTGAATCTTCTATTCTCGCGCTTTGGTGTGCCCCTAATGTTGTCATAGAGATGATTGGAGCTATGTAACTTTCAGAACAATAGTCGTCTTACTTCCATTGGCCTAACACCTGCTGATGCATCCGACATCTCTTCATTCAATCGCTTTACATCTACAGAGCGGAGATCAGACGTTCGCATTGTGTCACAGAACAGTTGGTAAGCCAGTCGTTATCTTTTGAAAATCATCCGCTCAATTGCACTTCCACTTTATTTTTTTTGCTCCAAAATCGCCCTGAAATTGGAGTAAGCGTATCCAGATGAGGGTGCAGATTTGTATGGCTCCTATATCAATCTCCGTCAAGCAAGATGAGAGGCCTCCAATTAGTGTGACGGTATTAAGCCCTCTTTCGGGGTCCCAGACTACTGACAGCGGACGGAAAAGGGTGACAATAGGCATCGCCACTCCAATTCTCACTTCACTTTCTCTCTCATTCACTCTCCGCCTTAATGCTCCATGTATTTCACTACCATTATTTCTCTCACATCTCGCACTAGCCCTTCAAGACTGATACATCACAAATCAATTTTCTTATCTAAAAAAAAAGTAAACTAATCATTTATAATCACTGCTAATTATCACATTTATTAACTAATAACATTTACTTTTATTCTAAGTTATGTAAAACAAGAATATATCAATATATTTTCTACAAATCATGATTTCAATAATTTGTAAAAACGAAGACACGAACACATTTTTGCATTCTATATATTTTTTAAGACTTATGTAAAAATTATAATTAAGAAAACTAAAAATTTAATACTAAAATCTTGAAATAAGCAAAAATGATTTCAAAAATATCACAATATTGAACGGATTACGCGCTTTGTCCCCTTCTCATGAACTGGGTATCTTGCGCATGATTTTAACATCCGAGCCTCGCTTTGCAATTTTTGCGAGAGCATTTGAGATTTCTCTGTGGAGCTGTGATGGAGAAAGTGGCTTTTTGGTGACTACAGAGTGTTCTCAGTTGGAAACATCCATCAGCCCAGATCGGTCGTTTGGTCTGTTGCTGGATGGAATCTGTGACAGTTTCTTCTGTGGAACCTTTAAACAAGTCCACTCTCTTGATTTTTAATTGTGTGGATGAATATGTGTCACAAGTAATCTGCCTATTTGCTGATTTGTGCAATTTGCATTAAGTAACAAAGTCAAGATTGGGAGACGAGGGAGATATTTCCCACATTGCTGCTGTACACCTAGGAAAATTGTAAAGGTAAGATAAGTGTTGGGAATTTTTTTTTCTATTTTCAACCGAATGATAGAGGGGAAGCAATGAGAGCTGGCAGAGGCAGAGCACAGGATATAGGAACGCTTCAATGGTTCCATTTAATGGCAATTGCTAATTAGGATGCTATACTGAAGTGTTGTTTTGGTCTGTGTCTCTTACAAGGTGGGGGCCATCGGCACGAAACATTGTCTAGCGCGAGGAAACCTTTGAACTTCGAGCAGAAAGTGGATTTCCCGTACTGGGGAGAGGAGAAGGAGGTGTAAATTGAAGAGGAGGTGAAATTTGTGAGAGAGCACAACTGAACCTAATGGAGAGCATTTATTTTCCTCATCGGGTAGTTGGGAGGGTGATGAAATCTCTTAAATGAATTATCTAATTTTGGTAGAAAATTAAATTACTTCTCTACTATCTATCAGAAGTGATGCAAAAAGCATCACAAAGATATGACAGAACAAAAGCATTAGATTCTTGTTTATCGAAACTGTTCCCAAATATTGTATGTATGCATATAGTATGTTATTATGTAGTTCTGGATGACTAAAGATTAAAAGTTAAATTTGAATTAGTGACTGTATGAAATCATAATTGACTAATTAAGTGGAATAACATCTACATATGAAATAAATTTAATCATTGAGTAATAAAGCAAAAGCTCACAAAACACTGATCCTTATCCTGTAATATTGTAAAGATTTTTCATTTGTATCCGATCTTTCCTTAAAATTTATCGAATGCAAATATGACTTTACTACTTTTTCATTTCAATGTAGTTCAGCAAATATGAACTTAAAGTATATACGTGCGAAATGGATTTCCCCTCCATTCTTCCCTAGGCAATAAGGCATATGGAGCGAGTTCATAAAAATCAAACAGACAAATTGAATTTGCATTGCAGGTGTAAGTCATGAATTTACTTCCCGCTATGCACCTGATTGAATTGATAATACTGTATCCTGGGAGTGTCTGACTTTCATTCTCACATTTCAGATGCACTGGCGAATTCTTATAATGGTGTGGCGTCGAAAGCTCTACGTGATGGGATGCGTCACGGTGCTGGTAGTGGCTGCTTGGGGTTGGGCAACATTTTCACTAATTGGCACCCCTACAGCTACAGACAACGGTGTAAAGGGACTTGAGGGATCTCAGACGGAGAGCCAGGGTCTATGGCACCGCCTCACAATCTTCAGACGTGATCCAAAGCCTCCAACAAACTCTGGTGTAAAATTTGTGAAACCCACCGGGAACATACCGCCTAAACCTCAATCTGAGTCGATCATGAGCAAACTAGACAATCTGTTCTCCAGCAAATATGTAGAGAAGCTGCGAAGCCTTAAAGTGCCAGACAGAGAGGATATTGGTTGGCGGAGGAAGGCCATTGAGCAGAGAGCACTGGAGGACAAACAAATGTACTATGATCATGAACTTCAGCGCATGGGTGTGCCTGTTATCAAAGGAATCGGACCAGATTCTGGTCTTTCACCACCCAAAGAACGTCTAGTCCATCTTGATCTCAAAGGTGCTCCTCCCAAAATCCAATACCTTAAGCGTCTCATCCCGATACTCAAGTCATTGGGAGCTACAGGAATCCTTCTTGAGTATGAAGATATGTTTCCTTACTCGGGTCAGATAGCTAACATTGCTGCTCGTAATGCATACGCTCGCAATCGCTTAACAGACTTTCTACAAACTGTCAAGGCAGTCGGATTAACTGTAATGCCTCTAGTCCAAACCTTTGGTCACATGGAATTTGTGCTGAAATTAAGAGAGTTCCAGGACATGAGAGAGAAGCCGGAATCTCCACAGGCTCTCTGTCCTAGCTTCAACAAATCCTTATTGTTTGTTGAAGAAATGCTGTCGCAAGTCATAAACTTTCATATGAAAATAGATGAATCCGCCACTTTAGACGAGGATGGAGGAACGGCATCGCTAAGGCCACATTTTCGAGCCATTCACATAGGATGTGATGAGGTTTATCGAATGGGGGAGTGTCCAAGATGTAGAGATAAATCTAGGTAAAAAATATTACAAATACTTTAGTGAATGCGAAATTTAAGTTGGAATGAATGCTCTATTTAATAATGTTCATAAAATTTGCATATCGATTTATGCAGTGTGCCATCGTATTCACATTCTGGAAATAACCGGACTCTCTACAAAATCTCACATTTCCAGGCATGAGCTCTTCTTATCTCACGTCTCTGCTGTGGCGACACGAATAAAATCTCGCTGGCCAGGCCTAGATATAGTCATCTGGGACGACATGATGCGACAGATTCAGGTGCTGGATATTCAAGACTTTAAGCTGGGCGATTTGGTACAGCCGATGATTTGGGTGTATGCTGAGGATGTCTATCGATTTGTCTCACCACAGACTTTCGATAAGTACTCAATGGTTTTCCCAACTGCTTGGGCCGCGTCTGCCTTCAAGGGAGCCCATGGGGAAACTCTTTTGTTACCACCATCGCGTCGTCATCTAGAAAACACTCTCAAATGGTTAACGGTGATTCAGAGCGAGAATTCTCGTTTTAAAGGTGAGTTGAACTGGAAAAATCCTTAAGATAATTGGAGAAGGCAGTATGTGCGGAATAAATTTTGTCGTAGCAGTAATTAATAGCTTTTGCGGTGTATATAATCGATGAGTCCTCGAAAGGAGTACTCACTGTACGTCCGCATAGTCCTTAATTAATTTTTGCTCTTAATACACAGGAGGAATTCAAGGTCTCGCCCTTACCGGTTGGCAGCGTTATGATCATTTTGCCGTCCTCTGCGAACTTCTGCCCGCAGCCTTACCAAGTCTAGCTGTAAGTCTAGCCAGCGCTTCTATAGGCTACCTCGATGTGAACGGGCACAAAAATGCCATCCTCAGTGCCCTATCATGTCCAGAAAAATCCGTCGAGAGCTTACATCGGCGCCCTTGGCTGGATTTCCATCAGGATCCAGATATGTCGTTCTTTGCTTGGTGTATGTTTCCAGGCAGCACGCTCTTCCGATATTCCCACCGCCTTCTCACGGCCGTGGCTGAGAGTCGAGACTATGTGGAAAATATCAAATATAAGCGTGGTTGGCTGACAGATTACAACATTAAGCACAATTTTACAACCCCGGTTAGAGTATCCGAACTCGTGGAACACGCCTCGAAACTTAAGGGTTCCCTAATCACCCTGGCTAAGAACGCATCCGATGTTATGATGGATATTTACGATAAGGTAAAGAAATCTATATAAAATAGCGACATGTATTTAAATAAAGATGCATATATATATATATTATATATATATATATATATATGTATATTGGTATATAATATATATATACATATATATACATATATATATATATATATATATATAATATTATATGTATATATATTATATATGTGTATATATATATATATATATATATATATATATATGTGAATGTATATATATGAATATATATACATGTATATATATTTGCAGTTTACGATTGAGGAATTCATCGAGCAACGGATTAATCCTGTCGTGGATGAGCTTAATGGACTACTGTCAACGGCATCTCGTTTGGGAGCTATTAAAGTCTGGCCACGACGTCCTCTGCCATACATTCGCGTCATTACAGATATTAAATCTCTTACGAATAGCACTAAGAAATCCATCCATTGAATACTCAATTCACATCCGAAATTAAGAAATACAAATTTGCCACATCTCATAAGCAATACCATAAAGAATAAGGTGAATTTTTTTTTCTAGAAAAAATAACGGCAGAGTTTAGAATCAATACCATAATCTTTAAATGTAATTGTCAAGTGTTTTAGAGAAAAAATACAGTATTTAAGTAATACTAAGTTTAAGTCAAAGCTAATAAGTATCTTTGGAAATTTTTAAATTGGTGTGAATTTTAAGCGATTAAGGTAGAAATATAAAGAAATTGTATAAATGTGGTTTCATTTGTTATATGTAGATAATAAAAAGAAAATGTTAATTAAAATTTTAGGCAAATTCCATGTTATTCTCGAAATTTAGTTGAAAACAAATTTTTGTGAAACAAAAAAAAAACACTGAAAGACTGATATTTTAATTATATATTTAATAATATTGAGTTAATATATCTTTATATTTTAGTTTGTATTACCAAAATATTATGAGAAAAATAAATGATAATTTCTTCATTCCACTCGAGAGATGTCAGCAGGACTGATTATTGATTTTCTTGCCTCATCCTCCTCAACATCCCTTAGCATCTCCGTAGAAAGTGTGGAGAAAAGTCATCTGAGTAGCTGACTTTTTGCGTTAGAAAATTCACCTTTTCGCGTAATTTTTTGTGTTTCTGCTTTCCGAGAGGAAATCATAACTTCTGCTCCACTAAGGAATTATTAGGAGAAAGACCATTCCACTAAGAAAAAGCAATTTATCTGTGACAAATGGGAATTGATCAGGACACACCTTCAAAGTCGAATTTATCCGTGAAATTACTGGCGGAAGTGTTTGCCGAAATTGATTCTAATGTCCAGATAGAATCCTTCGAAGAAGCTCAGGGCTCCAGGCGAGGTGATAACTATACGGCGGCACTCTTTCGCATTCACGTGAAAGGATTCCTGCTGTCAGACGGAAATACTGCCAAGAGGAGCAAGTGGGAGTGTTCGCTCATCTGTAAGAGACTTCCAGATAGCCAGGCCAGGCGTGAAGCCTATCGAAGTGAAGCTCTCTTCCGGAATGAGGTACGAACAATTTTTTAAAATCTAGTTTAATGTCCTAAGATAGATGTAATAAAATAATTCATTGAAACGAGCATGAACTGAAGAGCTTTTGTGAGCTTTTTGTTGTATTTACATATACAAAAAGTACATAAAAAGTAATATTGTATTAAAATGTTTTAAGCAGTTGCAAAATTTGTCAAATAGGTTCTTTTAAATCACACCTAATGAGTATTCGAGATCAATTGAACAAATCTCCATAATTATTTTTTGTTTTTACAGGTGTGTTTTTATACTAAAATCGTGAGGGAATTACTGTCATTTCAACAGAGTAAAACACGTGAGTCCTTTAGCTCAGTCCCAAGATGCTACTTCGCTCGCAGCGATCTATTGATCCTGGAGGATCTGTGTGCCAAGGAATTTCATATGCCCAATCGCCAAGAAGGGCTTTCACTGCAACAGACTAGAAGCGTTTTAGTGGAATTGGCCCAATTTCATGCCCTCAGTTTGGCTTATAAGGCTGAACATCCACGTGAATTTGATGTACTCACATCTAGTATAGAAGAAGGCATTTTTGCGGACTCCAATCTTGAGTGGTTTCGTAATTACTATCGACGGTTGACGCGTAATGCAGTTGAGATGGTAATTATTAACTTTGTATGAGAGTGACATTTAATGGTAAGAATTAAATTTAACCCATTTTGCCATAGGTAAGCCAAAGCTTCCGTAATGGTGAGGATGGTTTGTTGTACGTCCAGCGATTACGTGATTTCGTGGATACAGACACGTTCTTTATGCGAATGGTGGAACTCGTGCGCGGGCCCAGTGAATTGGCCGTGATCTGTCACGGTGACTGCTGGACCAACAACTTCTTGTATCGGTATAGCGCTGACCGGATGACCGTGAGTGGCGTATGTTTGGTTGACTTCCAGCTAATTAGATGCGGATCTCCTGCGTTGGACATCGCTAATCTTATTTTTTGTTGCACTGATCATGCTCTGCGGAAGGAACACTTGCAAAACCTTCTAAAGCTTTATGGAGAAGAATTGGCCAAGGCTTTGAAAAAATTCGGAAGTTACCCGAGTTTCTGTGGCACTTGTGAAGAAGAGCTGATGGAAAAGTAAGTTACAAAAAAAATTTTCAATTCAAATCTCACTGAAAATTTCTCTCTCAATCACTTACAGAATTCATGTGGAATTCAAGAAATACGCACGCTTCGGACTAGGGCTGGCCATGGACATCCTTCCCATTAGTACTTGCTCAGCTGATCAGGCGCCCGATCTCTATGTACCTTTGGAGAACTCTAGTAGCTCAGCTCCAGAGCTCAATGTACCACCCAACGAGCTTTGCCGCCAAAAGATGAGTGAAATTGTGGTAGATTTAGTAGATAACGGACTGCTCTAGAGAGCTTTTGTGGCTTTGTCGGCTGGCATTCGACAATAAATAATACTGCATTCTGTTTACTAAGTAATAAAAAAAAGATTTTAGGAACAAAAAAGTGTGTCAGAAGTGGGATTCGAACCCACGCCCTCAATTGAGGACCAGAACGCCCCGAACCCATTGCTATGGGTAAGATTTCTCTTGAGTCTGGCGCCTTAGACCGCTCGGCCATCCTGACATGCTCGCTTTGCTGTCTGATTTCATACGGCATACACACCATTTCACCATACCATTACTCTTTTTAATGAACGCAATTTCTGTATCATTCTATATTCTAAAAATAAATTAATTACTAATAATAAATCTCGATATACATATAGGAAACATTTCAAGTAAAGTATTCCATTACACCCATTTTGTTCGCTCCCTTTTCTCAAAAATTACAAGTTCTGTAAATATCATATTTTGTATGTATTGAGTAATATTATGTGATTCTTTGATATGCTTTTTCATGCATCCCACAACCATAGGCCACATGTTTGAAGGGTATATCATTGCAAAAGTGGTGAACAAAAACATTTTTCACTTATATAGAATCTGTAGTATAGTCTAGCCCAGTCTCATTGAATTCAAGCTATTGCGGTAACGCTATTACTTTTATTGATTGTTCAGCGGAAAATTTGTTAGACAAACAATGTATGAAAATTTGCATTTTATATTTTTCAAAATATGAGTAAAAAATTTTTGTGTCAATTGCTACGTAGAATTATTCACGTATTTATTTGAATTAAAAATTAAATTACTTATACATACGAAAGGGAAATCATCTTATGATGAAACCTTGTAATAAAAAAAATTAAGATTGCATTTTACGCGTTATACTATCAATTTCAATTTATTTATTCTTGCAAATTAACTACTACTACATCTTACGAATTTTTGTATGAAAATTAAAAAATAACTATCACAATCAGCGTTTTATTTTTTCTATAAAAAGCAAATATGAGAACATTTTCTGAGTTATGATTGCCCCCTCTCGCGACTCGTGTGCTTCTAGTACACTTGGATAAAGCTCTGTTACGCAGAGCTTTTACAACAATGCCTTGGATAATCCGAGACAGCTGTCAGTTTGTCAAAAGTGTTCTCTCGTCATTGCAAACTGGGGTTAGACGAATTAAAATAATTTTATCGTCTCAATCAGAGCAAGTGCCTGAGGAAACTGTTGGAAAAGTGACCAAGAGTGTCCAAAGACCAATGAAGTGTGTCGCGTGAGTGGCCCAGCCTGTGATAAATGTGTTCTAGCCACCCTCATGACTACGGAGGCACCCCTGCTGCAGCTGGACTTGGACGAAAAAACACTAGAGAGCCCCAAAAACGACGTCCCACCCCATCTGCAGACACAGCGCAAGGACACACAGGAGCATCACTCGAGGGAGACAAGGAGGAACACACGGCGGTGCCCCGATGACAAGAACAGCGTAATCTCCCTATCCAGTTCATCCACGGCGGGTGCTGACGACGAAGAGGAGGAGGAAGAAGACATTTGCTTGGTGCCTGAAGTCAGCTTCGAAGGCATCAATCTGGATTCAGGCGGAGTGGACAACCGAGAGTCGCAGCCCCTGTTGGGCGGACGCGACTGTCCGGACACGGCCATCAATAACTTTCCAGGTAATTTTCAATCTCTATCAAACCTCTGGGCCTTCCACAAAGACTCAGAGCAGCTGGTGAACAATGTTATTTCCGATAATCAATACCCCAACGAGTGAAAATCTACGTCGAAATCACACGGAAGACACACAAGTGCTTGAGAGTGTGATTCACGAGCCACTTGCGTCACTCCCACCAGTCTTCGCCACAACACACCATCCATATCCTCAAATATGCGCCATTCACAGAATTTGATAGCCCCTTCGCGACCTTTTTCCACTCTCGAGGCGATAACAAGTAGCGACGTCACAGATAATGTGGAGTTTCGATTGAATTTGGCAATGTAAAAATTCTAGGAAGACGCGAGTCCGCCAAGAGCTTACCACACAACTCAATTCACACAACACTAATCGCGTGATTGTGCATTAGAATGTTATCACTGTTCTCTGTATAGAAATGTCAATGGCCCACGTTATATCTGCATACTGAGAACAAGTTTGTCTAGAGGAATAAAACATGGAGCTTTACTTGGAGCCTGTCTCAAGGACTAACTCTAGAAAATGGATACAAAGATGGTGAATTGACTGTTTTTTGATAAAAAGCACATATTCAACGAGGTGTGCAAAAAGAAAGAAAAAAAATCTAATGCTCAATTCAGACGAGCCTTGAGAATAACCTCCAATCATGACGATTAAAACATTTTTGCAATAGACTATTTGTGTGAGATCTGTAATAATTTTGTTTTAATTCTTATCACGTAATTTCAAAAATTTCAGCAAAGGTAAATTTCTTGACAGCATCTTTCTTTTGATAGTATTTTCGATGCTAAGTTGCTGCACTTCTTTCTAACTAATTTCAGTCTAAAACGTTGATTCGAAGCATTTGTAAAAGATATGCTTGCTCTTGTTACTACAAATTAACGTCTAGAAATACCAATTTTTTAGTTTGCCTTGAATATCACTACTCTCTTTATGTTATAAATATTTCACGCCAAATGCCTCTTTGAAAGTTCTAAACAACAGCTTAATCATTATACTGAAGTTATTTCTTGCGGATCACACATTTATTGTTGGAAAATGTTTTGATGTTTCAACCTTGAAATAAGTCAGTATAAGAAGCAGATAGTTTTAATTTCAGCGTAAATCACATTTGGCTACAATAAAACAACATCTTATACACTCTAGATGACTTTTTGCAATAAAAACTCCTTTGTACATGTCCTGTTTTGCATCGTGTGTTCAATCTAATTGCTACATGTAAATATGCATTAAATAAGGTATATTTCTGATTAAATTCGAATGTATATCTGGAGATAAAATAATCTTTGAAGCTCAAAATCAGTTATGTTTAACAAAATCCGTCAATTCTTTTAAATGATTCACACACAATAATCTGAATACAAAGAAATTTGAGTTTGTGTTGGTCGTATAGCTGCTGAAACCTACATATACATACCGACACATAATTGTAATTTTTATATTCGTCACCTACTTGGCAAAATGTGTGTGAAACTTTAATCTTAATACATGCATTACTACACAAAAATTTCCAGTAGTTTTCCTCAGTCTCATATATGCATTACCACGTTGGACACTAGTTCATTTTACATTACTTTTTGGGACTAATGTATTTTCAAAGTTGACTAAAAGATAGTTCCAAGCCTAAGATCAGTGACACTTGTAATTGGTTTACTTCTTTCTTATTCCCTCAATGAACGACTCATCCAATAATTCAGCAGAAATCAGTGGAAATGGGAGTATAGAAAAGTGCTTTGAAAGAGATGATGTGTTAATCGTGGCAGAAGAGATCGACGATGACGAGTTTGATAACGCGAATAAATTCACAGGTGGTTTCGTGTTTTTTTTTTGTTAGTAAATTCTGTTCTTCTGCTTAATTTAACTGTCGAGGAAATAGTTAATTGTCTTGTATTTCTAACAACAAGCAATATGCCACAACTACACTGATATTTGATTGGCTTAAAACGTGTTTTGTGTAACATAATGTGATAAGAAATGTTCCAATTTGCGATGCAATCAAATTTTCTATTTCGTTCTGACTGTTGTATTGCCAGTCATTCTATAAATAAATTCTCTACTTTAATGAATTGAGAGCTTCTATCTAAAATTTTACGCAAATACATGCATTCATCAGTTTGTATGTTGCTCTGACTACTTCAAGATATGATGATGTTACTATGAAAACTTTATACGTAATAGATTAAAGCAAATTTCTCTGTGATTTTTTGTATAATATATCATGCTCAGGAACATACATACATATGTGCTTTTCATAATATTCGCATTTTTACTCTTTTCAGATGATCCGCAATTCAGCGAATTGGTGAACCAGGCTGAGATTGCTATTGAGCACGGAATTTATCCAGATAGGATTTACCAAGGCAGCAGTGGATCGTATTTTGTGAAGAATCCATCAGGGGTAAATATTGTGATGTTTTCTTTCTATTTATTGAATTGCTCCAGGAGATGAGATGGAAGCATTCTTGTTTTCTTTCATCTCTTATCGCCCGAAGGAATGATTTCAAAAATCGCTCATATATGGGTTATCTGTCGAAGCAATATTAGAATGATTCATGTTTGGGAAATTTTCACAACTACTCTTCTGTCGTATGCAAGAGAATACTAATGTGAAAATTTTGGTCGGAATCAAACATTTATGAATTTAATATTAATAGAAAAATTTGCTAATGTCATTCCATTTCTAAATTTTGCAGAAAGTCATAAGTGTATTCAAACCCAAAGATGAGGAACCGTACGGACGTTTGAATCCCAAGTGGACAAAATGGATGCACAAGCTCTGCTGTCCATGTTGCTTTGGACGTGCCTGTTTAATTCCCAATCAGGGATATCTCTCTGAAGCGGGTGCTAGTTTGGTGGACCAAAAACTCAAGTTGAATGTCGTGCCGAAGACGCGAGTGGTGCGCCTCGTGTCAGAAACCTTCAACTATATGCGACTGGATCGGCAGAAGGCGCGCATTAAAAAGACCATCAAGGAGCGCTATCCGTCAGCGCGCTTCAATCGAATGAGTCTCCCGCCGAAAGTTGGCTCTTTTCAGCTCTTCGTCGATGGTTATAAAGATGCCGATCACTGGCTGCGACGTTTTGAACAAGAGCCATTACCGCCAAAGCTGAACACCACCTTCCAGCTGCAATTTGAGCGCCTTGTTGTGCTGGATTACATCATTCGCAACACCGACCGCGGCAACGACAACTGGCTAATTAAATATGATCAGCCCACAATCGTTAACAACGGCTCAGTAAAGAATGGCAATGTAGCGGGCCACAGTAAGCAGGATTTAGCTGATCATACGGATTGGAATGTGGTGCAATTGCCGGAAATACGAATAGCAGCAATCGACAATGGGCTCGCCTTCCCATTCAAGCATCCCGACTCCTGGCGTGCCTATCCTTACCACTGGGCCTGGTTATCACAGGCAAAGATTCCATTTAGTCAGGAAATCAAGGACCTGGTTTTACCACTTTTGTCGGATTTTAACTTTGTCGAAGAACTCTGCAATGATCTATTCCAGCTGTTTAAGGTAGCTTGGTGTGTTTTCGTGTGTGTGTGTGTGCGTATGTTAAATATGAGAAAATGGACGTGTTCTTATCGCACTTCCGGAAAGAAACAATTTAAAATGCCACGTGAAAGAGTAGGTAATGTTAAGGCTAATAATATTTTTCTTTCTTCACTGCAGCAAGATAAAGGCTTTGATAAGGGGCTCTTTGAACGTCAAATGTCTGTGATGCGTGGTCAAATATTGAATTTAACACAAGCCCTCAAGGATGGGAAAAGTCCTCTGCAATTAGTCCAAATGCCAGCGGTTATTGTTGAAAGGTATACGACAGATTCCCATGAAGTTTTACAAAAAAAATTCATTAATTACTTCACTATCATTCTATATATTTTCAGATCAAAAGCCAACCCAGGATCATCACGATTCTTTTCATTTCAGCAACGCTTCCAGAATAAGAGTCCCTTCTTTTCATGGTGTTAACCTATCTGATGTTTCTTGTAACGTGGACTTGAGGTTCCCTTCTAAGATTATTCAATATTGAGATATACAAATGATAATACCATTAAGATTAGATAACTGCAAAGAGCAAATTCTATATTTCTCCACCAGTTAAGTTTCTATTGTTAGCCATTTGAAAATTACATGAGAACAAAAACTTTCTCCTTTTCTTTTGTACATCTATTTACGACTTTTATATTCTTAAGTAAACTTACCAAACAGAACAGAAAATATATCCTCATGATTAGTCAGAGATGGTGAATTGTCTTAGTGTTTACCCTCTTCAGAGATGTTTGCTACCAGACATGGGAAAACATTCGAAAATCAAATAGATTAGAGAAGATTCAACAGCAACATAGGGCGTATTTATTGAACCATATATTATTCAATCAGAATCTGTGTAGCAGTACCGATAAGGAATAAACAGAAAATTTTGCAAATCCATCAAATTGCTGCTTTTGGATATTCATCTTGATCACACGATAAGATTGGATTTTTACAACTACAACCTGCAAGTGTAATAAAATCAAATTTATTATTAACATTTTGATTCCAAAAATTAACATTTTTTTTTTTACTTACAGGTGTCATCATTGATTTGTCCAGGAGGAAGAAAACTCAATTTGTGGATGGTGTCCTTACTCATCTTTGCTGAGGATTGTTGAGTAGATTCTTTCTTTATGCATGGAATGGTCTTGGTATGAAAACCTGTGGGTGGTGGCAGGAAGCTGAGCTTGTTAACTGTACGTCCGTCAAATGGCTCCCCACTGCGGTATTCCTTACTTATTGGCTTACATGATTTTGCTGGTTGGAATTCAGCCATATTAGGGGCCATATATGATAAATTTTGAATGGTGGCTGTACTTAACTCGCCCACATCAATATCCTTTATACACATTTCTGACTTTTTTGGCTTCAATGGAAGTATTTTATTGGTTGTCTTTGGGATAAAGTCTCTCATGTGCGTTGTAACACTTTCCATTCGTTCGCTATTAGTCACACTATACAAAACTGGCCTCAAAGACTGCCTCCTGGCATCAATCACAGGTGGAAGATAACTTAATTTATGTATTGTATTGTCTTCGAATTTTTTTGTTTGAGTCAGCTCAATTTCACCTTTTGGGACAATGGGAAGAACTCTATCAATTTTGTTGATACTATAACTGAGCTGATAAATTGAATTCGGCTTGAACTTTTCAGCAATGTGGAATAATTGTCCTCCTTGTGCCGGTATAATAGGTTTAGATGGCTGGTAACCTGAATTTGGAATATAACTTTTTCGATATACCGTTTCTCTAGCCATAGGTGTGTTCACTACAATTGCTCTTTCCTTCCTCATCCACGGATAAAACTCCTTGAGGGGCATTTGCGTTGGCCCATAACTTAGTTTATACACTGTTTTGTCATCTAAAGATTCTGTTGGCATTTGATAATCAATTTTTGGCTTCAAACACTTTACCTTTGTGACACCAATTGGTACAGAATAAGACAATCTGTTAACAGTATCTCCAGAAAATTTTCCTGGTAGCGTTTTTAGATTATCTTCGTGAATAATCTTGCCGGAACGATTTGCCATATATTTCGGCAAGAAGTCATGCATGTGCGTAGTGAGACTCTCTAGTGGTTCATTGCTGATATGTGTTCTATTCTTCGGTAGAATGGGTGTCCGACGGATAACGATATTGGGTTGGTAAGACAGAGTAAAGATTGTGTCATGAGGCATTGTTCCTTCAGCTTTGTGAATTTCACCGCTTTGCGTCATTGCCTTGCGACGATAACGGAGCATCTCCTGGCCACTCACACCATTGAAGGATTTCTGATATACAGTCTCTCCGGCAAAAGGCTTGGTGGATAAGTGACTCGCCTGAAAGTTTAAGTGCATTTCAAAGTGAGTTAATTTTTAAAATTTTTGAAAGATTATGGGATTAATATTTCGACTTGAATGAAGTATAAGTTTAAGTTGCTTATCAACTATTCAATTTGGTTGCTAAGAAAATGGCATAAAAAGAAATCAGCCCAAATTTAAATGAAATCGAAACTATTAAATTAAGTGGTCTTGCTAACACACATTTTCACGAAGGCACAACCGCAATACGAGACCCTCTTTTTCCTCAACTGTTCCGTGTAATATCACCGTCAAGAGGTAAGGTAAATAGAACTTGGAGGAGGTGCAATTTCTTGCTAAAAATACGACCTTAGCGTTTGTTAGGTAAAGGCCGCATTTTTTCTCCACGGCACATTCAAATTTTATCGATCTTCAAGCCTCGGTTAACATACTTAAGAAATCTTCTTAAGAACATGTAAAACTTTGACCTGTGACACATATTAAAATGATCACTAACCTCTATGGGTTTCAGGATCTTCTCCCTCGGCGGTTGAATGTAGCGTGAATTTGGTCCAAAACAAATAATCTTACAGCACCTCTCACATCTCTTCTCGGATGAATTTCGCAAGAATTTTTCATAACTTTGTATTTGATGCATTTCGCCACCCTTCAGATTACAACTTCTTCGCGATATTTTGAAATTTTCTTTCATATCGTGAATATTCTTTTAGACGAAAAAGTTATAGAAAAGTGTAAGTAAAAAAGCGAACAAAATGAGTGAATGTTCAACAGTTAACTCTGTTTCAGTATCGTTATACTACTGTGTCGTTACTACTCTGTGAAAATATCGTAAAGCAGTCGGGTTGGGTGAAATGCGTCGACTCCGCGAAAAGCTTGGCCATTTTCCGACTTTCTTCGGGTCCTCTCAAAGCTGGTGAATATTCTAAGTCAGTGGCATTCGCGACTCGCCAGCGTTAGACGGAACCGGAGGCCTCATGAGCGGTTTTTGTAGGGGGGGAGGCATTTTCGGTTTTTCTCTGACTTTTCGCCTTCCTTCTGACACTGTGATCAATTTTAATTTTAGAGACCTCCTCATCGTCATACGCAATGTCTGTATAACTGCGTAGAGGTGCTCGTCTTATCGCAAATTGCATGAATTAAGGCAGAAAAATATTTACCTAGTGCCTCAGTGAAGTAGAAAAGAGAGTGCGACAGCATTGCGTCTATAAAAGAGTGGGACTATCGCGGTGCTGAAAATGATTCTCATTACCAATGGCTCTCAGTGAGGGAGGTACAACCGGAGGAACTACAATGCCAAACGCTTACCTCCCACAAAGGCATTTCATCCGCTAAGGCTGTATATACATACGGAAAAAATTGAGGCTAAGAAAAGAGTTGCGCTACAAGTGAGATAGAGTGATATAGTGCTGTAAATTGCCGTGTGTGTTCAGAGGCGAGGACAAAAATAGCAGCGAGAGAAATTTGCCGGAATGTGAGTTGTTTTGGCTGCACATGGGACGACGTGGTTGTGAAGAAAATAGATGGGTTTTTCATGAAAAGTCGATGAGCAAAGGGAAAGAAAGAATCTGTTTAACAAACGAATTAATCCCAATTTTCATCAAAGAAATCTAGCCCAGGCAGACGCCTGGGAATACAGACGTATTCTCCAGAAATACCCATTAATTTGATAAATGAGCGATTTTTTACTACTTCACATTATAGAGTTGAAAGATGACACTGTGAATTTCCATATAGATAAGATGGTGATAATTTCAAAAGCATACCCATATTTTTCATCACGGCCAAAAAGAGCAAAAGTGCGAGAATTTAGTGAGAAAAATTTTATTGCACGTGATATCTACATAAGGGTTAATTTAAGAAAATGCGGTGCTACGGCAATTTGTCCAATGATATTTACTTTGTATTTTATAGTCACATTCAAGTTATTTCCATGTGACTTTATGGGAAAGTGATGCAAGAAAATATGGTATAATTTACAAATTAGGTATGCTTCTAAAAGAAATTTATTCCACGTTGTAAAAACTTGTATTTTGTTATTTTACATTCATCCTTTGAGATGAAAAACCTTTGAGATCTCATATTTGCAGTATGTACTTAACGAAAAGAACTTTCAACCCTTTATTTTATGCTAATATTTTACATTTCAAGTACTAATTCAATATTATAAAATAGAATAAGGCACAAGTAGTAATATAAAAACGAAACAAAAATTGAGTGAAACGCATCGAACTAAATACGTGTTATTATTTAATTACTAGTAGAGTTGTCGATGAAACAACAGACATCCTACATTTGTCATTTATGCATTACATAATTTAGTGCTGATATATTAGATTACATACAAGATTTCTAGTAAATTACAATTCTGACATTTGAAGCACTAATTTATATATTTTAGCAAATTGACAGTAATACAAATCTCAAAAAAAATCAATCATGAATTAGATTTTATAGCCTTATTCCATATATTTTTTTCATTTTTTACTTATTATCCTATATGATATTTTTAAATTTTTAAGTTTCCATATGTACATAAACTATATTATATATGTATAGTTTTATTTGTCATATAACTCTCATCTAATTTTAATTAAATAATAAATTTTCATGTTATATAATTAGCCATAAATCATAATTTAATATGCTCAATCAAGGAATAATATTCCCCTATGCGAATTTGCCAATATGAAAAAGGCCAGCGTGAAGGGGGTGTCTGAATGATTAATTAACTTCCAGTGCTATTATGAAAGAATGACTATTCCATAAAATATTTTTAGATTCTGAAATATGTGATCATAGATATATTCTCATTGAGCCTTGTCTTTTTCACCCATAAACCCATAAACTCTTTTATCAGCTAATCAATTGACCAGTGCAGTGATTTGAGATGTCAAGGCTATTAGTTCTCATTAGAAAATTCAATTTACAGAGATATGGCTCTCGTCATGCTTCCCTGCGAGATGCCATGGTGGTCGATGGTGTATCGAAAGCTGGCTGATATTCAAAAGTGTTCCACTGTCGACTGTCTCATCGAGCACATGCAGAAGATACATGACACATGCAAGTAATTGCGGCATTCAATGGTGGAGAAATGTTCAGATTTGTTTTTTGATGTTTATATTCTCTTTCTTAGTGTGAGCCTAGATCCAGATGAGGACAAAAGAGACTGCACGATCTTTTTCGGATTGCGTACATATATAAACAATCACCTGTCGCCCGTTGAACGTGAGCACATATTGCAATACACAATTCCTAACATTGCCCGCAGAGCTCAAGATCTGAAGAATCTCAAACCCATGCGAGGACTCAGCTTCAGTCTTCAGCAACATTCAGAGACCATCGAACTAGAGTATTCTTTTGTGGCGTCGCTTCTAGCTAATGCGTTCTTTTCGACTTTTCCCAAACGCACTGAGAAAACTCATCCAACCCTTCAAGACTTTAATTTTACTCACTTCTTCGTAAATCTGGCCATAAATAATAGCCAAAAGGCAAAATTTCAGACACTCATGCACTATTTTGACTGGCTGGAGAAGCTTGACAATGCAAGAGGTAGCCTAAAGATGTCCAGGCGCGTAATGACGGGCAGACAATGGCTAACGATTGAAGATTGGTTGGAATGTGGTGTACCCCTGTCAGAGATAGAGATTAAACATGAGGCGAGGATTGAGAGGTCACCTCCGGACGTGATTCAGACTGTTTTTGCATCTTCTAGAATTGGCGGTCCAGTTCTGTGGAGCGGGAATTCACAGGTAAATACATAAAAGCAAATGAAATCACAGTTATAGATAAATTAATATAAATTATCTGTTTCAGGAAAGTCTTCAATTCTGCACCGTCCCCGAGGTACTCGTGGCGCTTCTCTACGTAGAGGCATTGGAGGACAATGAAACCCTTTACGTCGAAGGCGGACGACAAGTGGCCCGGATCATAGATGCCCGAGGTCGAGGAATAGTTGAACTATTTGAAACCCCTCGTGAAGTGTGCCTCAACGTTATGGATGCCGAGATATATGATGCTTCAATAGGAGAATCGCAATTTGAGGAGGACAACATCCTGAGGGAATTAAACAAGTGCCTTCTGGCTTTCCGGCAACATCTCACATGCTCTGTGATTGAGCCTTCAAGGGAGCGCCGAGATGGTCGGGACATTCGCCGTTTGTCACCAATCGGGGAGTCTGGAACTAATAGTCCAGGAGATGTCCCTGTCATGGCTACAATTGTGATTAAGCAGGCGAGTTCTAATAAGTCCAGTGAGTCATCCGTTCGTCAACAGGACGCACACTTCCTCTCACCATCACCTTCTGGACTAGTAGTGGGTCCTACAGCTTCTGGAAGGAGGGGAAGATTTATAGTGTTAGGATCGTCGGGAGAGTGTCTTCCAGTCACCAGGAGATCCCTGTCCCAAACTGGAAGCAGTTTGTATTCTAGCTGTGAATCTTCAGATGATGAGTTCCATAGTGCCCGCAACAGTTTATCGAACAGCGACGAGGAAGATGACGAAGAATTCGCCCGAAAATATTCCCATGAGTTGGATACGCCAGAAAAACGATTATTTTTTGCCCAAAGGCTCAAAAATGCTCTTCAGCAGTCTGAAGCCTATACTGAGAGTACAGAGGACAGCTACGCATGCGGAATCAGCGTAGGTGACTCCAAAAATTGTGATAATGCCATCCGTGTACGTCGTGCTGGATCAGATGGATTTGTCCTGCAAGCAGATTGTCTGGACGACACATTTTCTGATGAATATCAAAAGCACGGTGATAACAAGAGCCAAAGTAATACTCAGAATTTCGAGAACGGTGCTCTAAAGATTCGGGAAAGGCGAAACTCCTCCAAGTACAGTTTCAGTACTGAATTGAGCTCAGAACTAGAAGAAGTCTATGAACAATTTTCCAAGTATGGACTGTGCGTACGGTGGAAATGCTCCATGTTAACTCATAACACGTGCTGATATTTCTTTTTATTTCGATTTTTCTAACAGGTGGATGGACGACCCTATTGGCGATAAACAAAGAGAACTGGACCCTCGGGATGCAGCCGTACTTAAGTTTGCCAACTCCCTACTCAAGCGAACTCTATCAGAGAGCTTCGTTGGTGTTCCATTGACTGAGGGATGCATTAATAGTGTGGGTAATCCTGCCGAGGAGGCATCCATACAGAGCTATCAGCAGAAGATGGATAAACCCAGTCTAAATTCTCGTTCGCTGTCTTTAGAGTTGGCAAAACAAAAGCACAGATTAGCTGCACAATTGGTGAGTTTGACTTTAACTTCATGTAATTCCGTTTGTTTCTTTTTCTTTGCTCTTTTCGCTTCTTTTCTCCGCTCCTGCCCAGGAGAGCTTATATATATAGGGAGTCTTCGCGACTCGAAAACGCTTATTTTCCTCTAACCACTACTCCTTCCTGTTTTATTGTCCATGCCATTTCTGATGGAGACACTGGAGATTTCACGTGGAGCCCTATTCCACGTTGTCTTTACTTTTTGTGCCATCCTCAGGTGAAAAAACAATCCCTGCTGAGAATTGGATTGTTGTGTGGCGGACAGAGCAAAAGGCACAGAAAATGGTCAATTTCTCTGGTTCACACATTGCAAACGATTAATTGTGGTGACATCATTGTTAAACCACCCGTTGAGGTAATTTTTCCTTTTTTTTATTTTGTTTCCTCCTTGGCTTGTTGTGTTTTGTCCTGTTGTGTATCTTCTCTTGTGTGTATATGTGTTGTGTGTAGAGAAAATTCCCCCAAAGTTTGTCCCCAAAGTGTAAACTATATATAATATACACTATAAATAAACACTATATGTAAGAGGTACTGAACTGAACCTTTTCTCGCCAAGGATGGTAAATACGGTAACCATGAATAACATTCCAGTCGCGTTAAGACGTCGACAAAATTGAAAGATTATCGGCTGTTAAATCTTAATCATGCACAGTACGTGATGTGATATTTTTGGCGGAAATTGGCTTCAACCTGGACTTCAAGCCAACAAGCTTTCACACAAGGAACATGTGTATTTCTTCAATTACAACTCAATACCTTTTCCGGTGTCACTTAGTGATGATATTTTGCGTATCTCTTTACTAAACTTGAAAAATAAGAAAAGAAATAATTTGTACGCAGATATTTGGAAATGAAAATGCACACAATTATCACTACAGTCTTATAAAAATATTCCAATTTAATGGCCTTACCTTCGTTTAGATTGCCCATATTCTTCAACGGCGCAAGGGAAATTCAAATTTGAAGCCAATTGCAACAGGAAATTGGGGTTGCGGACGCCGGAATCAGGGAGATGTTCAATTAAAATTCGTCATCCAATGGCTGGCAGCGAGTGTAGCCGGGCTGCCTGTTCTGATTTATCACACAGCTGCCAACGAGAGACTTGCAAAAGTACGTTAGCTGAACCTTTCTTTTCAAACACATCAATCATATGCTTCATGCAAAACTTTTGCTCTTTCAGTTGGACACTGTATGCAGAATTCTGCTGGATCGACGATGGTCTGTCGGACGGCTGGCGAGACTGTTGTTGAGGCATGCCAAAAGGATGTTAGATACACACGAGGACGAGAATTCTCAGGAATTCCTGGAGAAGCTCATAGGATTTCCTTTACCTCAAAGCAATTAATATACATAACATGACGAGTTGATAACTCGAATAATTTTGTACACATTGTTCAGCAATGTTATTTATGTACATCGAACTTTGCGTAATTACAGAAGTCTTCCTTGAGCATTCAGAAAAGTTTTACTTCTCTTGTATAACTCAAACAAAAGATACTGACCAGAAGGATGCATTTAGAAGTGTTAGTAAGGAAGTTAAAAAGTTTCTTCATGAATTTCTACATCAACTAAATCAAAGAATATAAATGTAAGTATTTTGGAATAAGTATAGACCGCAAGATTTATTAAAGATTCGAAATAATATTTTAAAATATTATCTCAACTTAACACCAATTGCTATGAATTACAAAGAAAAAATAAGTGACATAAAATATAATCAAATCCGGAGTAAAGTTGTAGCTGAGTTAATAGCAACACTTTATTCTACGTAGTTAATATTTAAAAACAACAGGTTCTAGCCTTAGTAAATAACGATGGATCAAACAAAATGTTTTTTAAGGATGAACATTATTATTTTCTTCAAATTTAATTAGGTGCTTGTAATGAATAACATTAAAAACAAAAATTTGACTTTGAATTTTGCTAAAATCATCCCTTTTTTCGGAACCTACTATTTCACCGCAAATTATGCAGAAAAGCAAGGTAAATGTGCATAAATATGTAAGCAAAAGTAGTGCACGAAAATTCCTTATAAAGTATAATGATCATAAATAGAGTTTTTCATTACGTGCCGAAAAATTTCGATGGCAACATTTACCTTTTGTTTACTGAGAGCGTTAAGAACTTATAAAAGCACGCAATTCAACCAGAAAATTTAGTGTCGCGCGATAAATAATTATCAAAGTGTTAGATTAGAGATTAAATTAGATTGAAAATGGAATAAATGATGCGCCAGGGAAAATCCAGGGAAAAAAAACACATTGAAAAAAATTCATTATAATTGAACATTAATTAAATATGAATGACGAGAAACCTTACTGTAGTAATTGATACTTTTCTTTTGCATCCTTCGTGTAACCACAAATACTGAGATGGATCTCACTGGCAAATTTACTAATTTCTGCAATTCTCAATCTTACAAGAAAGTGTAATTAATTAACACTAGGCCGAGGAGGTGTCAGAGGGAGACTTTACCCAATGTTTGCACCGAATTCCGTGAAATATGACAGCACAGGATTATGAGAAACCTACCCCTGCTCATATTTCGTCATCCCCCGAAAACTCTTTTGCTATTTGAATTTATTGCGTCATTAAATTTACAGACTCTTCCTTAGCTTCAGTTAAAGGTAGTTGAAATTGGGGGGGAATCTCAACTCCGAACTTTAAGGGGTTTAAGAACAACCGGAAATTCCTCAGTATGTCCTTCTGGGGGTCTTCTACTCCTCATCAAATACATTAAGAGTTTTTGCTCCAATGTCCTAATGGATTGAAGTATCTCGTAGATTTAAGATTGAGATTTCCTTTACCTTCTATGTGTTTGACAATGAGGGGAGAAAGAAACTGTATTCCGTACATTCCTATTCTCTCCAGAATTGAACTATCAGAGGTATAAGAACGAGAATCACTTTCTTCACCACTACAATTGATTCAAATCTACTTAATATACCAACTTTTATTTTAATAAGGGAACTTAAAAGATCTCTTGCATATATAATTGAAATCTATTTCTCTGAATTTTTGCTTTTAATTAAAAGGTTGCTCCTTTGAATATAAAATGAGTAGGTATCTTTTGTCGGTAAAACTTCATACCATAATCGATTTTTATTAATAACTTCATTGCGCTGTTGAATGAAAAAGTTGAAGGTAGAAGATCTAAATAAAAATTATGTAAATGTTCTGAAATAATGATGATTTTCCGACGTCCATTTTCTTTCAAATAAATTTGTGGGAGTTTACGGAACGTGATCGGAATGATAAAGAGTCAGTGGTAAACTATGGCGGAAAATTTTCTTGTTCAATGACATCAAAGAATAAAGAGTTTTATATTAATCTGTAAGATACTTTTTTCAACTCGATCTTTTTCTCTTTTTGGATTCATTAAAAAATTTATACACTTTTACGGCGTAACTAATCCTCGGAGACAGTAAACAGCCAAGGGAAACTGGAAGGTAGGTCTTCTTAACATTAAACAATTATTAATATTAATATTCAATTAGCACGCGACAATTATAATGGGCTTTAATGGGGGATGACCTAGGGTCTTTCTCCGAAAATGTCTGCTATATTTTTCGCAGTAAAAAATGTCTGACTGAATATCAAAGAGAGTTACTAGGAGGAAGAGGAAGAGCCCGTGGCCAAAAGAAGTTGGAACGTGTTATGATGAAGGAGGCGGTTATTCAACTGCCCGCCTTTAAAGTTTTCTGCTGCAATTTAAAGTCGCGTGCGAAGAGAGCAAGAGAGCGAGAGAGTGAAGCGAAAAAAAGTTTTGGAAGGGGGGAGAGTTGGAGGGTTCAGGGCCTCTCGCACATTAGGGGGTCTCCACGGAGTAACATATAACCCTCCCTCTCTGTCACACACGTCAAATCATCGCAGCACCATCTTCCATTTCTCCGACAGAGTGCACCACTGTTAGAGAATAGCTGTTTATCTCGCTCTAACTTACACCGGGCGAGACTGAAATTCCATTCTTTCCACTCACTTCACGTCAGTCTCCATTTGCACTTTGTGAGTTTTGGTCGCGTTAGTGCGTTCTGAGAATCCGTCTGTGGTGTTTGTGGACAAAAAGTGGACAAAAAACAGAGTAGTGCAAACTTGCTCCCACCTTCTGGTGGACCTCCAACCAAAATCAATTTACTCCACAAGTGCAGAGTGTCTGCGTTTCACGAAGCGTCGGGTGTTAACTATTGGAATTGCATTTGATCTGTCAGATTGGAAAAAAAGTTTTTCCCCGAAGTGTGTCTCCCGCATTTGTGCAGTGATATTACTGCGTAGTTTGTAGAAAGTGTCTTCATTTCGCCATCACTCTTAAGTCAGCCATTTATACACAGTCTTTCTGCTGTCCGTGCGATTAATTTCCGTTCTTGGAATATTTACTTTACGTGTTCATACTTCCGTGGAACCGTGCATCTAGAGGAAACCATGGTGGTGACTTAGTATTAGCGAGTAAAAGTGAGGAAGCTGTAAAAAGAGATAAGGAAAAAGAAATTGGATTACCATATAAATGCCGTGCTAAGATAAGAAGGACCACGTTTCCCTCTCATCCAACTTTCGTCTTGCAACCAGAAATTTCAATTTGGTGGTGAGTGCTCTCCTTTTACAAATCTTTACTTATTTATGAAAGTCTCTTAGCGCCCTTTTCAACCTCATCCCTCCAAATTGCCATTTTGTGAGAGCTCTGTCGCTTCTGACGTCGGAAAAAACGTAGACAGCGTGGACATGCATAAAAAGCGCAATATTCCAAGTGAGAATGGCTCACCACAATTGATATGGGTGAGGGTGGGTTATTAAGTGTCAATTTGCACACCCTTTAAGCCGATCTTCACGCAATTTTTCTCGAAATATACACATTTGTCCGTGGTATCGAGTACAGCTTACTCTGGCTGTCAGGCGATGAACATGCAAGAAACATGTCTTGCCGACGGCTTTTGCGACCACTCCGCTCAGCTGATTCGAGCACTACGCTGTGGCTTGTGCGTTTGGCTCTTCAGTGAAGTTCTCTGCATTGCCCAAGATGGAGCATTTTCCAATGCAATCATCCTACGGTCGTGAAGAATTTACATATTTCCGCTGTTGTGCAGCACATTTTCTCATTAAAGCCGAGAATGTAAAGTCATTTCAAAGGGAGTTGCCTATCCATGGGGTATTTTTCGCCTAATAACATAGCATGGGTCCGGTCGGGAGGCTGCAAGCGGTGCTGATGTGCAAAAAAAGAAGGCAGAGTGGTCAAAGTGATGGACGCTTGGAAATAGTGTGTAAAAAAGAGTTGAAGAATTGTAGGAAGGTGGAGAAAACGTTAGAGAAATACAGTGGAGTCTGTCTGTAGAACCGGTCCCACTTATATGTAAATTGATTCGTTCTTTCAGTACATACCACACTCTTGAATGTTTTCTCAATGCCATTGAAAACCATTTTAAAATCTTTCATCTGCTTGTGTGATTGTGCCAAAGCGTCTATAAATTTTTCGAAGACTCGAGATTTCCTGAATCAGAATAAGATTTTGTTTATAAGATTTTCACAATACATGCCAATGCTATAGATGTGTGGATAAGGATGAGGCAGAAGGGCGCAGATACTAACATATTCCCTTGATGGAACTCTTTTTTCTGCCCCTAATGTCTTTCCATCCCAAGTGGGCGTATTTTTGGGCTGTAAGAAGATAAATCATTGACACTGTGTATTAAATTTGGAGAAATTATTCATTTCCAGAAAAGATGAATGAATACTTTATACAGGATGGAAATTCCTATGGAAGACAAACGACTGAGATTGCTGATATGTGCTTTATAAGATGAATAGAGGCTAGGAAAAAGAAGGGAAATCGAAAAATATCAATTCCATTTATATTGCAATAGCCTAGATTGGCATCGTTATTCGCATTTTAGATCTTCCAGTGAGAACCTATCGAATATCAAGTTTCTCCTACCGCTCCCTAGAAACACCTGAGAAGCATTTTATTTATAAACCTAGTGGCTACTCTTTTAATTTATTGCTCTTCGGGATTAGTTTCCTAAGATCATATCTATGTTTTTGCCAAATCATCAGTGCATGGCATTTTTCGTTGTTTTTTTCCATTTGTATTTGAAAATTTACTTACACAGAAATTTGTCGTATCCAAGTAGAACGAAATCTATTAGATATTGAGTGCAAATAGAATCTATTAAAGTTATTTATTTATATGTAGATAGATGAATACAAATTTTCACTTTTATAGTAAGGTTCTTTGGCAGATAGAAATGTAAATAATAATAATAATAATTTATTTTTTCGTGTGCAAAGTTCTCAATGCCTAAAGAATGTATATGTTGATTCCCATTTCATATTTAAAAATAATGATTTTACATTACGTGATCAGTATTATCGAAATTGATAATATGTACATTCAAATCCTTGTGTTTGCATATTTAAATAAGTAACTAATTTGAGAGAGAATAAAATCATTTTGCTTAGTTCTCTCCTTGACTTATGCCTAACCAAATCTTCAAAGAGCATTCTTTATGTTATGCTTGAGTTTCCGGACTCTTCCGATCTCTTTGATGTTTTCCAACGTATTTTCCTACCATTGCCAATTGCTAAGATATGAACGTATGTAGAATTTCTAGAATAAAATCAACCTGGAAAATGAACATTTAATGCTTAGAATGTAGCTACAATTTTATTGAAAAAACCTACATTTCCTGAACGTGTCACTTTCGTCGATATTATTTTGTAATCTTCAATCGGTTGGAAATATGAGAAAGGTGTACAGAGAAGAGAATAAATACAAATACAGCCATCATGAGATTATCGTGCTTTTTTACCAGTAATGTCTCGAGTTTTTTGCTCCTGGGACGTCATTCACCATCTCAATGCGTGTCATTCACTGATGACGATGAATTTTTATAGAAAAAATAACGAACATTTTTTTTAGTATTGTACATATCATATGAATAGTGGAAAACTCTCACATCTCGAAAAAAAACCATCTTTTACAACTTTTGCTCGTGTCAGCGTATTTGGAGAGTCTCATGTAGCTTTATAGTTCGTCATATGTAGTATATTATCATTTTCTCTCCGATAACAGTGTTGCGACTTTTATAATCCCTCTTCCATTGTTTTGGTGCTATTTTCTCTGCCTTCTTCACGTGTCTCTTCTCCATTTTTTCCATTTTAACATATTTTCTTCATTTGTAGGATCTACAGAGAGAGAAAGAAAGAGATCAAATGATATATACATCAATGAACTTTTCGTTTGTACACAATTGAATATGACGAGTAGTGGCGTGCTATAAGTTGCAATGCATTGTCGTATATTCACTTACATGTGGATATATCGTGTATGTGGGCATTGAAATAACTTACACAGACTAGAACTTAGACAGATGTCGGTAGAGGGAGTTAGTGTGTAGAGAATGTTCAGGAGAAGAAGAACAGGAGTTCAAGACCGACAATTGACCTGAGCAGACGTACCGATATCGGCAAGTATTTAAGGGTAATATCCTTAAATATATTATATTATATATTATACTATATATTATACAGTGCTGTGAAAATTCACATTTAGGCGTAAAATGTATACGCTAAGTAAGAACGTCACGTATTCACTATAAGTTATATTATCTTTCACTTACATTCATAAATGAATTAACGTAACTTTATAGGCTTATATTTGGCGTGGATTACACTAAAATATTCCGATTTTCTTAATATATTCAAATAGTCAAGCTCCATAATTGTACATAATGATAATTTGATGAAATTGAAGAAGATACATACATTTAACATTATATGATTATTTTGTTTGCCTATGACAATACGACTGATATTATATCTCCTATACTTAATTATTCAGATTTATTGAGATTTTGGGGTGGATATGGTTGTAGAAAAGCTATCTAAAATAATAAACACTTGCTATGTATGGATGTGCGAATGATGAAAATGAAGTAATTCGGGTTTAGTTTCAGCATCCCAAGTTTGAGGAGAAGGTTCTCTCGTGTATCACATAAATTTTCTCTTATCTATTCTCTGAGAAATGAGCGTAGCTCACTGAAATCATAGAATATTAGCTAATATTTTGTATATACAAAAGATACTTTAAAATCTCCGCAATGATTGGAAAGTTTAACATCTTTTATCGATTCTTTTAACAAACATAATTCAGCCCGTAGAGATGAATATTAATGTGACACTTTAATAATGCACGTTAAAAGGTCGCTCACCAAAACATTTGTTTCGTCCTCACGCCACAACCTTGTGTTGTAATGATAAAAACATTCGCAGATACCAGAAGTTTTCAAATTCAATCCAAAAGAAACATAAGATCTACGTATAATGAAGTATTAAGTTGATTTAACCACTTCTCAGTCAATATATGAAAAGGGTTCTATTTACATATACATAATTCACTTGGAAATATGCGAGGAAAATAAAATTATTTTTCAAGTAACAATGACACATTGGAAAAAATCAATTACATCATAAACTCAAGTAAAAAAATGGTAAAAGTTACTCAACAACATGAACAACAGCAGAAATCATCTTAGTGTGAGTTCTTCTATAACATGGGATTCCCCTTGCACTAGATTATGTATGTGTTAAAGAAAACAGTATCGCGAAGAAATTTCTTCGATAGAGATAGATTTTGATGGCATTCACATTGAGCTCTTGCACATAGTGTTTATACAGAGACTATTGAAATTTCTTAATGAAATTACTTCACCTCTAAATTCAAAATATTTAGTTTAAGTTTGTTATGTCTATGTTAATGGATGGGTGTATTTGCAAAGTTCAGCAGATTTTGTGACGTTCCAAAAATAAAATAATTGGTAGGTAAAGTTTTCCGAGAAGGTGGAATGGAAGGAATACTTCGAAGTAGAAATCAAATAGATGGAACTCTGTGCAGGGGTGGAAAATAATTTAACAAACTTTTATTTGTTGTAAAACGTTCATTTGATGAGAATGCCTTTTAATTACATAACATGTTACTCAAGCTTTATATTGGATTTATACCTCTCCGAAGATCTACAAAATACATAAGAGATCCTGTAGATCGAATGAGTGACATAGAACTTATCCGCGTCCCATAGAAAATTTCCTTGGCACGTGGATGGAAGGAAGCGCTAATGGGGTTTCCTCCTTTTGAATGTATCTCATACCATTTCCGCACAACCCAACAATTCAGACATCCTTGGACTGACTTGTCAGGTTTTGTGCACATTCAAATTAATTTTCATGAGACGCGTTTTCTGGCAGAAGTGCCTTATTTCGAATGATTTCATTCAGTTTAATTTCTTCCTTATACTGAGAGATTTTAGATATATATATATATATATATATATACTATATTTATATTCTGGATACAATATCAGATTTGCTATCGTAGTATCTGAATTATAGACAAAAAGGTACAAAACATATCTGAATCAATCCTTCGAATGAAGAGAGTGGTGTGTATTTGATTTGTTTCTTCGAATGTATGGGAGGTATCTTTCAGTGGAAGCCATTGTGTTCCCTCGACATCGGGATACTTTCACTTCGCAAGACCTCATCCTCCCCGGGAGACCCTCTCATCAAATTGTTCGACGCCAAAGCGATGATGAA